TACCACAGACCTGGAAGATTCCATATTCCAGCACAGACTGACCATTTTAATTGGCCCACACAGGCACAAGAGGCATTTGAATGAGTCTTCTATAGCAGGAGACTCCTCTTGGACCAGAGTAATACCTCCCATGGAGTAAGGTGAACCCCTCCCGAATTCTGCCCAGCTGTACCACCGGAAAAGTTTCTGCCCAGCCACACAGCTATAAGGAATCCTAGAATCCAGGTGTTTCCCAGCATCTGCTGGCTTGTCCGAAATCTTTTGAAGAAACTTAAATGTTGAACAGGGGCGGTGGTGGGGAATAGGTTTCACACAGAGATGTCTTCTTGTTCTCCTTCTCTAGTTTCAGGATATCAGTAGGGCTTGTTCTGGCATCCGTGGAAGTTTCATTTGCTTTTCTTCTTGGAAGAGTCAAATATGACAACAGTGTCACCTGTGCAAATGCAAAGAATGCAGAATCTTGTTGATTGGACAAAGACGACTAAAATATAAAGCAATTACGCTTTGCTGCCGCTCAGAATAGTAACCTATGTAACAGTGACTGGCAGTGCCTCAGCTAGATTATGAAATGGTGCTAGCTGTTTTCCCTTACCCCAGTTGCCAAACCAGAAGACAAACAAAGCTCGTAGCAACAGGGCTTGCTTGTGAGTAATTTGGGGATGCGGCCTTTGCCTCCTTTTCAGCGTAACTCTGAAGTAAACAGTCATTAACAGGCAAAACTGTAGCTGAGGCATATTATCAAGGAAATATTGTTTGTTGTGATTGGAGGAGGCGATCGAGGGTCTTGAACCATGAAACGTCTTTCCCAACCCCTTAACAGGAGATGTCGGGGAGTGAATTTAGGATCTTCCACATGCCAGCAGTGTTCCCTCTAAGCTGAGTTAGTGTGAGCTAGCTCACCGTTTTTTAGCCTCCGGCTCACACGTTTTTGTTTTCGCTCAGGAAGGATGGCTCCGGAGCAAACTGATTTATGCAGCAGCCAAATCACTTGCTCACAACTTTAATGCCATCAGCTCACAAAGTAGAATTTTTGCTCACAAGACTCCACAGCTTAGAGGGAACATTGCATGCCAGTCTTGTAATCTATCACTGAGCCACCCTTCCTTAATTCCATTGCTGGTCAGCGGGGGACGTGTCAACATACCCTTAGGTGGGGCAGCTACCAGGGCCCAGGACTTCTTTTGGGGCCCATTGCTCCTGACCCCTTCACACACACTTTCCATGCTACCTGTCCGTACCTGTGCCCCAAACTGCCCAGAGTCACTGAGGAAGGGCATGTGGGCGGTCTACACTGATATCACCCCTGATGGCAATGGCAGCAGTTGGCAGCACTCCCAGCCGCATACAGTGGGCAGGGCTGTCGGGGAAAGGGGGTGCGGGAACTGAGCACGGGCAGAAGGAGGGCCTGAAAGTGGGTGAAAGATGCATGGTCAAGTGGGGGGCATTCTGGTGTGGGGGCAGAAAGGGAGGGCATGGGGGGCCTCGTGGTGGCCTGAGGGGGCCCCTGGGCGCTGTCTAAGGGCCCCTCGAAGCCTGGGACCAGTCCTGTGAACGGCAGCAACAGATCATCTTACCCACTGAGAGCTGGACCCCACGCCACAGTATTTATACCCAGATTTGCTTCTTCGTCGTTGGCAGTTCCTAAATATTTTAGTCGTTTCATGGCACACATCAGCACGACAGAGACCACAGATGCCTGCTTATCCTGAGGTCAATTCCAGGCACGTGCCCCTGTTTTGGATCTGAGGCTGCGAGGGGATTTAACCCACAACCTCTGCATGGCTTTACCCGTCAGTTCTCTCCCACCCACCCCCCGTCCCAATTATTAGTGCTTTTAAAGGAGAAAAGAAGATGGGTTTTTTAAAGACGGATCTTACTTATTTAAACATTCAACCCACGTTTCTCCTGTACTGCTGGAGTCAAAGTACCTTATGCAATAAAAGCCACAAATTGCAAGTTAAAACAGGGATGCTCACGGAACGGCCTCTGTGCCATCCCACAGCCCAACTGTAATAAAGGTCTTAGGCAGAACTGGCCTCAGTCCTTTCCCCTGGAAAAAGTTCTTAAAGGGCCTCAGGCTCATAGTTCATTTATACCGTATTCTTTACAGTTGTAAGCAGCTTTGAGTCCACGCAGAAAGAAAAGTGGGGTACAAATGTTTAAATAAATAAAACGTAAGAAGGGCCCCACTGAACCTGAGCAGCGGTCCATCCAGTCCTGCATCCTGCCTCACACAGTGGCAAACCAGTTCCTCTGGAGGGCCAAAAACAGGGAACAGAGGCTGCAGCCTTCCCCTGACACTGCCTTCTAGCACGGGGATTCAGAGGTTAACTGCCCCTGAATGTGGAGGTTCTGTTCACTCAACATGGGTAGTTGCCACTGATAAGACACATCCTCCACGAATCTGTCAAATCCCCTTTTTAATGGTTTCTCTTGCCTGTGGCTATCACTACATCCTCTGGCACCAAATCCCAAATTTTTATCACTTATTGTGTGAAGAAGTAAAGAACAAATCAGGCAGAGTGGGGCTAAGCAAGTGGTCTTATTCAGCCTCGGCTGGAACATACTTTCTCCCCTGAAAGCAGCAGCAGCAGAATCCCTGCTTACTCTTGACAGTGCTGACAACAGCACGGGCCAAACCCATCCAAGGGCCGAAGGGTTCCTCCAGGACCAACCAGGGCCGTGCAAGCCCGCCGTTCACTTTTTAAAAGTGAAATGGAGTTACACGACCTTCATGCTTGTTTGTGCCTTAAAAAGCCTCTGAACTTCTTGAAACCCAGAAAGGTTCTACCGCTGTACAGCAGGCATAAAACAATCCCCTTCTAAAAGGCAAAGGTAAAGGTTTCCCTTGCTCGAAAGCCAGTCAAATCTGACTCTACGGTGCGGTGCTCAACTCCATTTCCAAGCCGAAGAGCCAGCACTGTCCGAAAACTTCTCTGTGGCCATGTGGCCGGCATGACTAAACGCCGAGGCACTCGGAATGCTGTTACCTTCCCACTGAATCAGTACCTATTTATCTACTTGCAGTTTCTAGCTTTTGAATTTCTAGGTTGGCAGGAGCTGGGGCCAGAGACGGGAGCTCACGCCGTCATGCAGCACTAGGGTCTCGAACCGCCGAGCTACCGACCTTCTGGTCTGCAGCTCAGTGTCTGAACCTCTGAACCACCGCGACCCCTTCTAGGCATGACCAAACCTGTATTTTCCTTTCTTTGTCATATGCTGCCTTCTTCTCTAATGCATCTGGTTGTGCCATCTTTAGACCCAGTGAACGCTCTTGATCCTGCTGTGGGCCTGCTTGCACTTACCACTCCAAAGTCATCCCTATGCATCCTGTGTGCGTGAACATCTGTAGGTCATAGTCATTTTGGGGAATATGCATAATACCACTGAAAATGGTAATGACCAGAAATTGCCCCCCTCTCCCAAACATCGGCCTGTTTGCGTGGCCATGGGTTATTTATTAATCTTGCTGCACAGTTAATTTCTGCTTCTAACTTTAGTGTTTTATCCAGTTTTCAAGCACTGAACGTAAAAGTATAAAAATATTGAAACGATTCTCTCCCTCCTCAATGAAAAACACACATTTTGTCGTGGTAAGCAGATATACTAACAGGTTCACCCGACATATGGAAAGAAAACAACAGAAGGAGTCTAACTCAGACCAGTCAGCCATTTGCTTGGTCACCTATGAAGAGTAGAAATTGTCTCCAGGTGATCAGGCAGGGAAGCTAGGATAGTTAGTGTGCTTCTCTCTCCCCTTGGGCGTGAGGTCTCCTGATGTACCAAAAAAGTGAGTAAAACTGTTGTGGCCTAGAAACATTTGATGACTTCCATGCAAGGACAGACTTACCCCAAATCATGCGGCAGAGAAATGCTCCCATATGACTGTAAAATATTAAGACTCCGATGGCGCCAAGGAAAAAGGCTGCTATGCCAAGTGGATTCAGGGCTTGGAAGATAGGATAGACCCACCACCCAGTTATCCGGTAAATATGCACAGTCCTAGGCAAGGAGAGAGAGAGTACCTTGTAAAATAAGCTTGTATTCATTTTTTTTTTAATTAGTCAATAGTACAGTAAACAACAATGGGATTTGGTATAAATATGACCAACACAAAATTACATATAATAAAATACTGCAACATACTGAGAAGGAACAGCAAATTTAGAGGTGTCATTATTGAAGACATATTCTAAAAAAGGAGATCATTTCGTGCATAAAGTAGATTTTGAACATGAACTATTAGTAGAGGAAGCCACTGCATCAGAGAGTTTATCCATGATGTAAAAGTCCCAGATTTTTAAGCGCCAAGAGGAAAGAAGAAGTTTGTCGGTGGATTTCCAGCTACTCGCAATAACCAC